GAAACGTCAGCCTTCCTGCTCCTCTGATGCTGCTTGGCCTGCTGTGTTCATCCAGCTCTACACGTTGTTATCTCAGATTCTCCAGCATTTGCAGTGCCTACTATCTCGTCAAACTACATTTTGGGTGGAATTTTCAGCCACGTAATGACAAGGGCAATGACAAGTCAGGTGGAAAAATACGGTAAGATCAGCCAAGTTCAGATTCTCAATGTCAAGAAACAAATGACCCATTCTGCAACCACGTTTTGAACAGTAAGAAGAGAATCTTGCTACTGAGCAGCAAAAGGCCTATTTGCATGCATTGGCATGTCTTCAGTACTGTTCCTAAACTTGCCTCATTGATATGCAATTTGCTATTCTCCCATAGATAGAAATTAGACAGCGACAGTTCCCAACATGAAGGTCAGAGAAGGTAAATCTGGTGACTCCAATTTGACACTTGCTCCTCTGGACCTCCATCTTGGCAAGGAGTCACCAACAGGAGGGGCGGCACGGGGGGTCAGTGGTTAGCACTGTTGCCTCACAGAGCCAGGGACCTGGGTTCAATTCCACCCTTGGGCAACTCTCTGTGTGGAGTTTGCACATTCTCCCTGTGTCTGTGTGGGTTTCTCTGGGTGCTCCGGTTTCCTCTCACAGTCCAAAGATGCGCACGCTAGGTGGATTAGCCATGCTAAATTGCCCATAGTGTCTGGGGATGGGTCTGGGTGGGATACTCTGAGGGTCGGTGTGGACTTGTTGGGCCGAAGGGCCTGTTTCCCTACTGTAGGGATTCTATGATTCTGTGAACCTCAGGGCATAATCCATAGTCAGTGACTGCTCGTGCCCTCCCACCCTTAGAGTTTGGCATCGGGCATGTACCAGTCCCTTTGCATCCTCTTGACAAATGTCTGGCTCACTTATGATACAGTTCATCCATTTCAATGCTGCAGTTTGAAGCATACTTTTCACTGTAATGCTGCTGCCACGGGGCATTTTAGGCACAGGGTCAAGCACCCATCTCATGGATTATATCAAGATACAGCTCAGGGCCCTGCTCTTCGTCTCTTAGCACTCACTTTGTGCTTGCTTGGATGCTCACAGCTTCACTTTGCCTTTTTCCTCATTCAGCATGTAAAGGCTGTCAGTACCTCTACAGGGGTCCCTTACAAACACTCAAACTTTACAAACGCGATCCCATGCAGGGGTGTAATTTTAAAGATCCGCCGTATGAATATATCCTGTTCTTACAAATGGCTATTTTATATTGGTCCCACATTGTACAATTTGACTTATGAACAGAGAGAAGTCCGGAACCTGTTCGCAACCTGAGGAGTGTTTGTCTCTTGCTTTGACATTTAGCACAGACACAAAGCCAGGCAGCTTGTTGTAGTTGTCAGCCATCATCAGTCAAAGGAGGTGAACATATTGCTGCATGGCACTGTGTTATTTCAATGTGTCAGCAGCATATAAACGCATTACATGTGCTTCAGCCAAATGGCCATGTCCCAAAGTCTAAACGATATAACTCTCGTTAAGTCAAAGGAGGCAGCCTTCAGCCAAGAGGTAGAGAGCAGTAAGTCAAGGGCAGTCTCTGATATCAGTCCAGGGACTTTAACTTGGTCAGTCATGATTAAGGATTCCAAATCATACCGTCCTGGAGTCGGCTGCAGACAGAGCTGTTGGCCCTGTTTAACCAGTCCGGGGATTTTGCAGTAGGTCAGTCACAGAACTGTGCAGAGATCAGACTGACTGTCTGTCCAAATCAGTTAGGGAGCTGGACCACAATCATCCTGTGGGTCAACTCAATAAGAGTCAAGGGCAGTTATCAGGAGGCAATGCTGTGATGGGGAAATTGGGAAAGTCAGTTATGAGGATTGGAGGCAACATGCTTGGATGCAGGGGATAAATTCCGTGTCGTAGATGGGGAGATAATAGTGCATCAGAGGATGTAAGTAACTGCATCAGGGAGGTTATTGATCCCATGCACCATGTGCTTAATTGGTGGAGGGCTGAACAATGCAGCACAATGGTTGACGTGACTAAGCTGTACACCTGGGGTCTAGAGATAATGTGTGAGATGAATGAGATGTTTGCATGAACATGTGGAAGCTCAGTACTGATAGTGCCAACAGGGAGTGCAAGGAAGAAAGGAACATGAAGGTTTGTGGGGGATTGGGGAAGAATTGGGGAGGGTATCTTTGACTATCAGGCTCAGCGTGCTACTCAGTCAGCCAAATGCAACCTGTTTTGCCTTCCATACTTGTGGCAATGGTACCCACAATGGAAATGGAAAATGGCTGCAACTACACCCAGAGTGGTTGGAGTGAGTGAGTTTTTTTTCTGTCTGAGGATGCAGGCCCTATTTGTGAGCAATATGAAGTCCTTCAAAGGGCAGTTACATTAATCAGATAGTTTCACAGCACAGGCTGAAACCATCAGTTATCTGCTAGCTTTCCTGATGACTTGTTATATGTGAATACTAATCATCTGTAATCCATGCATTAGGACATCCAGATCTCTTTACTCCTCATGTATAATATATTTAGTTACTTAAATGTAATCAACCTCTTGTTATCTAAGGTAAGTGCCTTTCGTGATGAGACTTATTTATGGGTCATCCTTCACCACAAATTATTAGAGACCAGCATAGGAAGACTGATTGACAGTAGGATTCTACCTAATGCACAAAGGCTTTACATTCACTATTGTAACTTGGTGAGCAGTGGTGTGAATTTGACCCCACCACAAAGAAACCAACAGTAACAAGAATCTGAAGAGAAAGGAATGGGGAAAATTCTGCCAAAGTAGTGGGTTACTCCTTTAAGTGCATACAACTTTAAGTAAAAGGCAGCGAGTCAGTCAGAAGCTGAAAGCATTTAAACAGACTTCAGTCAGCGCAGGCTCATGGAAACTGAAGCAGCTCGAGGCTGTAATCCGAGGTCTGAGGGCGGCCTACCTGGTGAGCAAATCGGGAAAAGAAAAAGCCAGTGAGGGCTACAGATAGTCACACTTGGGCAGTAAGGGAGCGGGCAGCACGTTTAGCACTGCTGCCTCACAGTACCAGGGACCTGGGTTGAGTTCCACCCTCAGGTGACTGTCTGTGTGGAGTTTGCACATTCTCCCTGTGTCTGCGTGGGTTTCCTCCAGGTGCTCCGGTTTCCTCCCACAGTCCAAAGATGTGCAGCTTAGGTGGAGTGGCCATGCTAAATTGCCCATAGTGTCCAGGGGTGTGTAGGCTAGGTGGATTAGCCATGGGAGATGCAGGGTTACAGGGATAGGATGGGATGCTGTTCAGAGGGTTGGTATGGACTCAATGGGCCGAATGGCCTCCTTCCACACTGCAAAGATTCTATGATTCTATGAGATCCAAGTCACAATTCTACAGAGAGGTGGATGACATTGAGCTCCAGCTGTGAGTTAAATCTCTCAGGGAAAGGGCTACTCTGAGTTAAGAAGCTGGATGAAGGGTAATAAAGGCCTTACAGGTGACCTAAACATTGTTGCAGTCACAAGTGGGCACCAGGAGACACAGCTGCAAGAGAAATGTCAAAATTTATTTTCAAAGCTGGAGATGTCAGAAGCAAATTTAAACACTACGTCAAAGGAAGAATGTTTAAACACCACAAGCAACTTGGAGGGAAGGTTTTTCATTTATTATAAAACTGAAAATATTTAAAGCATGAAAAGAGCATGAGACACTCTTGTCTGGGGGAATAATGGCAAGAATCATCCCCAAGTGAAGGGAAAAGGGCACAAATATTCAAAACAGCAGGAAAGTCACAAGAAATAGCAAAAAAGATGAGAATCTTCTATCTGATTCCTAAAAATAGGAAGATTATGTTAATACTTTAGAGATGATGAAATAAGTACTTAACAGAATTTACCACCTATAGTGAGAGTCATGTCAGTGTTGTGGCCCAAAAGAGGTCTTAGAGACAAATACAATGTCCAGAGATAACACAAGTGTGTTACATCTGTAACAAAATCTGTCTCTTCTGAAGAATGTCAGAATGCCAAGGTTGGAGGATTTGAGATGTAAGAGAGGCTGAATAGGCTGGGGCTATTCTCTCCGGAGTGTCGGAGGATGAAGGGTGACTCTATAGAGGTTTATAAAATCAGGATAGGGAGAATAGCCAAGGCTTTTGACCAAGGTAGGGCAGTCCAAAGCTAAAGGGTGCAGGTTTAAGGTGAGGGGGGAATGATAACAAAGGGACCTAAGGAGAAATATTTTCATACAGAAGGTGGTACGTGTATGGAATGAGCTGCCAGAGGAGGTGGTGGAAGCAGATACAATTACAACATTTCAAAGGCATCTGGATGCATGTATGAATAAGAAGGGTTTAAGGGAATATTAGCCAAATGCTGGCAAATAGGACTAGAGTAATTTAGGATATGTGGTCAGCATGGACAGGTTGGACTGAAGGGTCTGTTTTTGTGCTGCACATCTCTATGACTCTTCGAGCCTATGTGAAAAACAGTCCCAGAATAGCAGAAATGCTAACAGATATACAGATAAAGACCTCTACACAATAGATCAGCTACACTCATTGGAAAAGAAATCCATGTTTGAAGATAGACCTCCACTGAAGAAAATTCCAAGACATTCTTATAAGAAACAGATGATCCATTCCAATTGCTCATCACTGAATGTATTTATGTCAGTGGACATCTTATGGAAGTTAAGTTTGATATGAGGTGAATTTCATTGTCTTAAATGACCATTTACCTGGCTAATGAAGTTACAGCCTACAAAGCTGGAGTTATGCAGTGCAGGTGGCACAACTGTAAAGGTAAGAGGAATGTTACAAATCTCACGAGAAGATAAACAACATTGGATATTCAAGAGGTTGCATGTCATCGAGAACTAGCAACAATCACCCCTGAGTTACGTTGTGTGTTTTGTCCTCAAAATCTTGCAGTTTGGCAATATAGTTCAACCACTTTTTAAGAAAACTACCATCGACTGATGTATGAAAACACAACTAATAGAAGACTTCAAGGGCCTTGTAAGGCTAATTTTTTATTCCTTCACTCATGGCATGAGGGCATCACTGGCTAAGCAGCATTTATTGCCCGTCTCACAGTTAAGAGTCAATCACATTGCTGTGGGTCTGGAGTCATATGTAGGCCAGACCATAAGAATGGCAGTAGCTTCCTTCCCTAAAGATCATTAGTGAACCAGATGGATTTTTCCTGATAATTGTCAATCCATTCACAGTCATCATTAGACCCTTAATTGCAGATAATTTTTATTGAATTGCAATTCCACCATTTGCCATGGTGGGATTTGAGCCCAGCTCCCCAGGTTAACAGTCCAGGGGACAATACCACTAGGCCATTGCCTCCCCAGATGGCTAATGGCTGAATCTTAAAAAAAGAGCACTGAACCTGCAGAAATCACTTACGTTAGTGTCTGAAACCTGTTTCTGGTTCTCACATGGCACAGAACTGTCAAGGAAAGTCACGCCACAGCCTCTTCTCACAGCAGTTAGGTGATGTAATCAGAAATATAAAGGTGCTGATAGTCATTTGACAGATGCTGTCAAACCATAAATGCATAAGGTAAGTGTGAGAGTGTGCTGAGAGGGTAGGAGGGATAGAATGCCAGGTAAGTCAAGTGCTAGGTGGGTGCAGCACCAAGGTGCCAGGTAAGTATGATGCAGACTGGGAAGGGTGCCAGCTGTGGAGGCAGTAGGCAGTGCCATGCTGGGTCCCAGATAAGTAGGATGCAAGCTAGGGTGTCAGGTGCAGGATGCCAGATGTTTAGGGTGCCATGTAAGCAGGACATCAGGTGAGTAGGAGGGTAGGTGGCAAGGTGAGTGTGGCAGTGTTTAAGGTAGGTTTAGGTGGATGAGAGAAATTTAGTCTGGGAGGCCACATAGAGGTTTGAATTGGACCAGAAGAGAGGAAAATGGGATCAGTGTGGCAGGGAGTTGGGGGCAGGTTGTCAGGATGGTGGGTCAGACCTGGAGTTACGGGGAGTGGTGGTGTTGGTTGGTTTTAGGTCTCCTAGTAAGGTCCACAGTCTTGAGAGTGTAAGTGGTGTGGGGGAAGTGTAGTTGGGGTGCATGAGGTAGGTGTGGGGTCACTTTAATAGTAACTCAGGAGATTACATATTTAATTGTGTAACTTCTCCTGAGCTACTATTTCACTTAATTTCATAGGAACTCTCCGATGTCTACAATTTAGATGTAGGCATAAAAGAAATTACAGTTTCCTTTAGGGAGTCCTACAGTGGAGATTCCACAAGGTCCTACCTACTCTATGTGCACTATGGAGTAAGGTCTATCTGGCCAGTAGAAAATTGGAGTTACTTAGAAGTAATAAATCTGCTGTTATCTAAGGTAAGTGCCTCTTCTGCTGAGACTTGTTCATGTTTAATCCTTCAGCACCAACTACTAGAAAGCCCTGTCGGCTAGTATAGGAAAAAGAATTAATGGAAGCACTGTACTAAAGGTATCCAGGCCTTATCATCAATATTCTAACAGCCTGACAGTGAAATAGGCCTTAATCTGTGAGCTAAGAGGTGCTGCATTCAGAAATGCCTCACCTTTTTGTCTGCTACTGGACACTTCTTTGAAAGAAGCTTCCTGGATTATCTCAATAAATGCTTTGCGGAAAATTCAGTTGTGAGTCCCTAATGACCCAGTTATCAAATGCACGAATTCAAGTGAGCAGTGCAGAGAAGATGGTTTTGGAATTAACTCTGACTGTATGCTGGTTTGTTTAATTTTACTCCAAGTGATAAGGCAGTAGATGAATTCTCAGCACCCTTCACCCAGAGATTGTAATCTCAAACAAGATAGCTATAATTGAAGACTATCCAATATCAGGATGGATCATGTGTGAGAGGCTTTAGTCAGGATTGCATGAGGCTGAACCGTCTTGTTTCGAGATCCCTGAACAGGTAGAAGATGATTATCTTGTGTCAAGGCATGTAATGACCCATTCCTGCTCTTTTCCCTTATGTGTTTAACTAGGGATCAGACAGGAAAAAGTAGGCAGACCAGTGAAGAAGCTTGAGTCAGGAGAATGGGAGCGAGATGCATGGTTCGTATGATGTTTGATTGTGCCAATTTTAGATTTAAAAATAGTTCTTAAGGGCCTGGGAAGGGGTCAGGAGGAGGAAACTGGGTTGTCGGGGGGAGGAAGAAGCAGAAGAGGCTGGGACAAGAATAGTAGCTGGTGCAATGGTTTTGTGGCCCAAACATCTCTCTCAAAACTAGAATATTCTGTTTACTACCATACTGTGCATCTGTGGCTTTATATCAGAGATGAAACTTGGATGTATTGGTAAAAGAACATGCAGTAAAAATCAAGGCTGCTGATTCAGAGTTATCACTGAAACCTGCCGAATCATGATAGTCCACCTCTGTAACACAGAATGCCCTGCAGTAAATATGGAAAATGACTTATTCAGTTAGCTATTCAGTGACCCTTGCTAATATGTGGTAGGACATTCTTATGGACATGTAGACCCTATTCCCTGCCTCACAGTGAGCAATGCCATGGGAGATCTGCACATTCCTGATACCAAAATTGTTGCTTTTATTCAGAGAGGCCATCGCTCTTGGCACCACAGACTTTGCAGAGGAGGATGTCGACAAGATTATTGAAGAGCTTGGAAAGGAGTTCAAGGGCAATGCCTACCATCTCATGCACAAGAACTGTAACCACTTCTCAGCAGGCCTGGCAGAGGTATGATAACCTGGGGCTTGGTGAATACACTCCAGTACGGTAGTGTGAGAAAATATGAACCAACGCACAAAGCAGTGAATATTAATTTATTAATTATAAAACAAGGCTAATGCCGAAATACCTTTGTATGTTTGTGGAACAGGTTTAATTTATGTTGCACGACACCAAAATTAATACATTGTTATCTGTTTTGCATAATAATTCAATTTGTGTTGTAGAATTCCACCAGGTCAGAGCTATTAATCTAAATATAGTTAGAATTACACATTGTGGAAAGGGAATGAAATTAAGTTTCAACCTTAGCTGATGATTTCTCTGAGTACCAACCCTCCCTTGCACCCACCTCCTTAGTAAGGCTTAAAACCAGAGATGTCATGGATGGATTGAGTGGGTTGTCTGATGAGGAAAGTTTGGGGAGGATAGGCTTGTTCCCAATGCAGGAAGATAAAGGGATGACTTGACTAAAGTAGACGTGATCCTAAATGGTCTTGACAAGTTGAAGGATGTTTAAACCACCTGGGCAAATCGCACACGAGTCCACAAGTCAGGACTTCCACGGGGGTCCTTCACATCTGGACTCCGATGATCCAGACACTGGAAGTTTTGGCCCAGTGTGTTTTATAAAGAAACTATAATACATGTAAAATTGTAGCAAAATGATGAAGTTGGAGGTTTTAAGCGAACCCTGCCGGATAGCTGGGATTAATATATACTTTACCCTAATATCTCTGTTTGTGGTTGTTTACACATGCACTCTTAGAGGTTGCTGGTTTTACTAAGTGACCAATCCTCTTGGTCTCTAGAATTCCTAGTTTGGTCTTATCCTGTCTTCCCCTCTTCAGCACTACAACACTTCTTATTTACATCTATACATTACAGACTACTGAATGCAGCCCTCTGTTGCGGTGTCTAATTCTTGATCTCTTTTTTCTTCTCTCTCTGCTGTTATCTCTTCTGCTTTTAGAATAACATAATTACTTACATTATCTTCATTGTTATATTCCATTTGACTACAAGAGATTAGTGCTGGTGGAGGGTTCGGATTGTTCACAAATCTCTTCACCTCTGTTCTAGAAGGGCTTCATTATTTGTTCAAACGATTTGGCAATATTTTAACTGAATAAATGGTGTACTTTATAATCTTAAATAATAATCTATCAATTGTACTTTGTGGAATCAAGGGAGCTCAAGTCAAGTAACTTGTTATAACCGGGCCAGTTGTTCACTGAAAGCTGTGTAAAGTCCCCATTCTCTCAAATGACAAAAAGTGTCAGCAATTAAATCAGATTTTCACAGGATGAACTGTTAATCACATTTATTTATGTTTAAATAACTCGCAGATACAAAGATACTTCACCAATTCAATATGATACAAAGAAACTGTTCAAAACCTAGATTTGAAAGAGTTAGTCTCAGCTTTAAAAAAAATGTAACTTCCTGGTATATATTTATTCCCAGCTATGCAATATTAACAGTGGATTTAACAAATATTCAATGAGTGCAAAATATTTATGAACTGGATTTGATTGTGCTATTTGTGAAGTGTTCACATAGAATAGCAATTGACAGAATTGTAGACATGAAGTTTTGCCTCAATTAAGGTCTTGCTGTATCACATGTTATCTACATTGTTATTTCCATAAGGAATCTCTTAGGGATTGAAGGCAGCATCGATTTTTTCTCAATTGTGTACAGGAATAAGATTTCTAGACTAAATAAATAACTCCAAATCATGGTGTATGCTTACTTAACATTAGAAAGAAGTGCCAAACACTTTATAACAGATCCATACTTACAGATTAACCTGATTTATTTCTTGCTCCACAGATGATGCCAGAGCTGCTGAGTTTCTCCAGCATTTTGTGTTTGTATTTCAGATTTGCAGCATCAGCAACGTTTTGCTTTGATTAGTGCCTGGACTGAGCTCATTTTGATTAAAAAAATTGAGGTAATTTTCTGAGTTTGCACTGTTGAAGGATGGTTTTCTCCATTTGCTGCACGTCTCGGGAAACCACAGGAATGTGTCCTCAGTTTCCAGCTTTGGATGGTCATTCTTCATTTGAGAGCCCAGGTGGAGAGAAATCAGAGTAAAATATACAGTTCAAATAAAGAAAAAAAAACTGCAATTGAGTTTTTTTTATTCTTTGATGTGATGTGTTTGTTAATGTCATTTATTGCCCAGCCTTAATTGCCCTTAAACTGAGTGGCTTAATTGGCCACATGGGTGTGCAGTTAAGTGTTGACTACATTGCTATGGGTCTGGAGTCACATGTAGGCCAGACCAGGTAAAGATAGTAGATCCCTTTCAACAACTGATGATATTTTCTTGGTCACCACTAGGGATACTAGTTTTATGCTGCAGATTTATACTTCAGTACAATACAGATGTGAGAGGTGGCCATTTCAGAAGGCTGATGTCTTTTTGTAAGTTTTCTGTAAGTTTTTAGTGCTGGTCCCCATGACAGTGTCCCCCAATGTGTTAAGATTTCAGGTGGGATATCCCCAAATGGCGATGCTTCTGGGTGAGGAAGGATGAATTGACTCCCCTTCCTTATTCAACTCCCCCGCGTAGTTGGTCACAAGATCAATTTTAAAAAAGAATCCCTTCCTTCACAGTCACCTTTGCACAAGCCCCAAGTATTTATGTTTTAAAGGAGGTTATATAACCATGCTTTCTTCTTTCAAAGAAAGATTGAGTTTGACTAAAAGATGAGAAAAGGCAATAAAATATGACATTCGTACACATAGATTAGAAATAAAAGTCATCATATGATCCCTACAGCATGGAAATAGGCCTTTCAGCCCATCAAGTCCATACCAACCCTCAAAAGAGTGTCCAAACAACCCCCTGTACCCTATCCCTGCGATTCCCATGTGTAATCCACCTAGCCTGCACATCCCTGGACACTATGGGCAATTGAGCATGGCCAATCCACCTAACATTCAAGTCTTTGGACTGTGGGAGGAAACCAGAGCACCCAGCAGAAACCCACACAGACACAGGGAGAATGTGCAAACTCCACACAGACGGTTACCTGAGGCTGGAGTTGAACCCAGGTCCCTAGTGCTGTGAGGCAGCAGTGCTGACCACTGAGCCACTGTGTGCCACCCTGAAATTTTTTAAAAGCAGTGATTCCACAAAGTAAAAATCAAAACAGGAGGAACATTTGACCCAGTTTTTGGCTTGTCCATCATGGATAGGTTGTGAAACATTATGGCTGCTGAGGTGGGTAGCACTGATCTTGAGGGTTGTGTAGTTGTTTGGAGATTCTTGCTTTTGCAGTAAGCTGAAAGGAATCTGTTGAGTTACCTTCAACAGTGGCTTCGCTGACTTATTATCAGCACTCAGAGAAACTTTATTTCTTTTAACCTGCACATGTAAGGGTGTGGAAATTGTCAGCTCATAATGAAATTTGGCACAATGGGATTTATACCCGCACCCCAGCAAACCATCACAGCAGTAAAACAACGCACCACTACACCAATAACCACAGCATCAAGACACCAACAAAGCAGAATCCAGGGCACCAGCCACCAGTACAACAGGACACTAAAAACACACCAGGACAATAGCACACCAGGACAATAGTACACCAGGACACCAGTACACCAGGACAATAACACACCAGGACAATAGTACACCATGACACCAGTACACCAGGACACTAACACTCCAGAACAATAGCACACCAGGACAATAGTACACCAGGACACTAACACACCAGGTCAATAGCACACCAGGACAATAGTACACCAGGACACCAACACACCATGACATAAGCACACTAACACACCAGAGCACCAGGACACCAGCACTTGTGGATACCAACACACTAGCACACCAGTACGCTAGCACACCAGTACGCTAGCATACCAGAGCACCAGCACACCATGACACAAGCACACTAGCACACCAAGACATCTGGACACCAGTACACTAGCACACCAGGATACTAAAACACCAGGATACTAGCACACCAGGACACTAGCACACCAGGATACTAAAACACCAGGACACTAGCACACCAGGACACTAACACACCAGGATACTAGCACACCAAGACACTAGCACACCAAGACGCTCGGACACTAGGACACTAGCACACCAGGACACTAGCATACCAGGACGCTAGCACACCAAGACGCTAGGACACCAGGACGCCAGCACACCAGGATTCTAGCCCACCAGCACACCAGGATACTAGCACACCAAGACGCTAGGACACCAGGACACTAGCACACCAGGACACTAGCACACCAGGATGCTAGCACACCAGGACGCTAGCACACCAGGACACTCGCACACCAGGACGCTAGGACACCAGGACACTAGCACGCCAGGACACTAGCCCACCAGCACACCAGGATACTAGCACACCAGGATACTAGCACACCAGGACGCTAACACACCAGGACGCTAGCACACCAGGACACTAGCACACCAGGACACTAGCACACCAGCACACGAGCACACCAGGATACTAGCACACCAAGATGCTAGCACACCAGGACGCTAGCACACCAGGACGCCAGCACACCAGAACGCCAGCACACCAGGACACTAGCACACCAGGATACTAGCACACCAGGGAACAGCACACCAGGATACTAGCACACCAAGATACTAGCACACCAGGACGCCAGCACACCAGGACAATAGCACACCAGGACACTAGCACACCAGGACGCTAGCGCACCAGGATACTAGCACACCAGGGAACTAGCACACCAGGACGCCAGCACACCAGGACACTAGCACACCAGGACACTAGCACACCAGGA